CACACACACACACTGACACACACACACACTCACATAGACACACACACACACACACACACACACACACACAGACACACATATACACACCTTGACTAGCCCTGGGTACTCATCTATAGGCAGACTGTACACGTGTATTGAGCGGTTATCGTTGTCACGTGAGTCCACTATACAGGGCTGTGACCTGGTCCCATGGAGCTCCTGTCGAGAGGTGTCGGCCTTCCAGTACAGCGCGCTCACTCGGATTGGCTGATAAATAGAGAGATAAATACATAGATACATAGATAAATAATGAGGTAAGTACATAGATACATAGATAAATAGTGAGACAAGTACATAGATATATAGATAAATAGTGAGACAAGTACATAGATACATAGATAAATAGTGAGACAAGTACATAGATACATAGATAAATAGAGGGATAAGTACATAGATACATAGATAAATAGAGAGACAAGTACATAGATACATAGATGAGATAAGTACATAGATACATAGATAAATAGAGATATAAGTACATAGATACATAGATAAATAGTGAGATAAGTAAATATATACATAGATAAATAGTGAGATAACTACATAAATACATAGAAAATAGTTAAATAGATAAATGCACAAAAAGTAAACTATGAGTAAATGAATAAATGAATAAAGGAATAAAGGAATAAATGAATCAGTGAATCAATACATGAATTACAAAGCAGTTTAGTAAATAAATAAATATACTTTATTAATCATTTCATTAATTAAAATAAATATATCAATGAATACATTTGAAAAATAAAAAAATAAAAAAATAAATGCATTTCTGGCGAGATCTCTTTGTCATCTTTGCTCCTTCTTTCCTATCAAACTTCATTCTTGGTCGTGAATTTGTAAGAAAAAACACATTTAATGTGTTCTGTCGGAGAACGTTTAAAATAAATGGGTTTTTACAAATTAAATATTTCAATCTACTAAAAAGAACTAGGCATATTTTCATTTCAACATTTTGTCACATGATGGGGAATCAATTTTTACTATCGATTTGTGAAATACAATTATTTTTTTTCGCCAAAATGAAGAAAATTTGTTTTGTCGGAGCACGGCTGTATAATTGTCTCTTCTTTTTTTCTTTGTATGTTACTCTAAGTACCGTAAAACACTTCGTTAAAAAAAACAACTAAAATACGTTTTAGACCACTAGTGGCTACCCATCAACATTTTAGACCATCCACTACCCATCAACATTTTAGACCACCCACTAGTGGCTACCCATCAGCATTTTAGACCATCCACTATTGTGCGGTCAAAAATTCGAGGTGCGAATTATAGTCAAATATCTCATCAACTACTGAACATAAGTTCTCCAATTTTCGCACAATGACTTGTATCAATTTTTCTTAACAGATCAACATTTTTGTAAACGCCTGCTAGCTGTATTCTAGAAAATTCTTTAATAAATACCAATAAAAAATTCAAGAGTTTAGCTTCTACAGATTTTTAATTGTTTACAGCTGGGGAAATATTATCGCTTTTAATAGCAAGTCTGTTATGTCTTTCTAACAGGGACATTATGCTTATTGAACGCATGTTTTGAGAACCTTTAGTGCAAAAACTGTGTTCACTATCAACAAAAATGTATTTCTTGAATCAAGTTTTGCAAGTAAAAAGAGTCATTGGTGAGCTGTTACGTAGGCAATATGCGTAATCAAAATGTATTTGAGAAGCGGGAAGTGCTGGAAACAATACCATTTACGTGTGACGGAGATTTCAAGTATTTTATATTATAAAAGTATGAAGAAATGTTGTTGTTTTTTATCTATCCCCAGTTGTTATAGAAAAATATGATTTAGTTAAGACAAATTGAAACTAACTGCTGTGCAAAGTCTGGATCACCTTGATTCTCCCGTTATATAAAGAGATAATATGTGATTCATCGTGGTGAAATGAGGCTCTCGTCAATTTTTGGGAATGTAGGGGTTATTTGTATCATCTTAAAGCTTGTTCACTTGTCTTTACGTGGATGAAAAAAAATATCCGTTTATCTTGAATACAAGTCGAGATATTTGCAAATGAAGGAGGAGGGGGTCATCTATTTTCAGAGGTAAAATTAGTAAGGAAAAGGCTGCCAAAGCTTAGTTATTTCCTTAGTAATCAACATTTTTCAGAAAAATCCACACAAAAATGAGTTCTTTAAAGGGCATGAAAAGCCAAAAAACAAAAATTTGACCAAAATTCACAAACCTGGGGGAAAATGCAAATTTCTTCACTTTGATTATTTTGACGAGAGCCTGATTCCACCACGCTGCCTCACATATTTGAGGATAAGTTGCGCCACGAATGTTTTTACCGCAATAATAGTAGGTGATCTGCCCACGTTGGCAAGCCCTGGGTTAAAACAATACTCTGTTACGTCAATCAGTTATGTCATTCTCATTACGCCCCCTAGTTGTGGTGTATCTGAAAATAGTAACAGCTATGACGTTTTCGTTTTGGCTTTCTACGTTAGTTCCCCCCCCCCCCCACCTAATCAATACATCTCCTAATTTCTAAAACTACACTGCTTCTATTATTTCTCGGGCGTTCTGCACGCAAACGTGCATTCTTTTGAAAGGTAGGGAGAATAATGATGAATCATCCAGACAGAGAAACTTATTTGTGCGTAGAGAGTGTTGGAGTGACGTCATGAGATACTGGCAGGGTGTTTCTTTTTTTAAGTAATGAGATATGTGTCACGGCGTGGTGGAATCAGGCGCTCGTTAATTTTTGGGCATGTGGAGTTATTGGTATCATTTTAAAGCTTGTTCATTTGTCTTGTTTTCGTCGAAGAAAATACTCAGAATATAACATCATGAACAGAAGTCGAGAAATTTGCGATTGAATGAGGTAGGGTGGTCGCTTGGTCTCAGAGGTAAAATTAGCGAGAAAATGACCGCAAATTTGGTGACTTCTAAAGCTTGAGAGTCTTTATAAACTGCAAATTTACATTTTTGTGCCTCAAATCAATACTAGTAAATTCCCACAGAAATGTGTTTTTAAATGGACCATAAAGATGTTGAGTCAAAAAACAAAAATTGCTAAACAATCAGAAACTGTCTGTTTCTTCGATTTCATTACTTTGACGAGCGCCTGATTTCACCACGATGCCTCACATATGAGAGATTTTGAGTCAGGATACAAAGTACTGTTTCTGTGATGCTATAATATGTGACACGTCCTGGTGGAATCAGCGGCTCGTCATTTTTTGGTTATGTATGGAGCTATTGGGATCTTCTTAAAGGTTTCTCATTTGCCTTGCTTTGGATGACAAAACTATTCATTTATCTTGAATAGAAGTCGAGAGATTTGCAGTTCGTGGGGGAGGTGGGCCCGCCTGGATTCAAAAGTAAAATTAGCGAGAATATGGCCGCCAACGTCTGGCGACTTCCATACCTTTCAAGGCCTTACAAACTACAAATTTAATTTTTTTGGTGCTTTTAATCAACGTTTTCCATAAGAAAATTCACACACAAAAGTGTTTTTGAACGGACATACAAGGTGTTGAACCAAAAAACAAAAATACAAAAAAAAATAATTTATCGAACTGGAGGGGAAATGCCGATATCTTCGAATTCATTATTTTGACGAGCGCCTGATCTCACCACGATGCCTCACATAATTATGTATTTGTGTCAAGCCGCTCTTGTCAGTTTTAGGTCATTATGGGGTTACGGAAAACATCTTAAAACGCGTTCAGTGGCCTTGTTTTTGTCGAGAAAAATACCCATCTGTCTAGAAAAGTAGTCGAGATATTTGAGACTGAATGAGCAAAGACGGAATGACG